AAGTAACTTTTATTTAAAGAATTTTCTTCTCCAAACGTAAATAACAGATATATTCCATAAAATATAAAAATGACCACCTATAAAGTACCCCCCCAAATGTTCCGACTCTGCCCAAAATCTAATCAGCTCATAAGACGCTGAAACAAAGCTTAAGTTTAAAATTTGGTGTTTTTCTGTGTATCGGTTCATGAGTTATGCGTTATACAGACACACACACACACACACACACACACAGACACACAGACACACAGACACACAGACACACAGACACACAGACACACAGACACACAGACACACAGACACACAGACACACAGACACACACACACACACACACACACACACACACACACACACACACACACACACACACACACACACACACACACACACACACACACACACACACACACACACACACACACACACACACACAGACATCATCGCGAAAATAGTCAAAACGGATTCAGGGGACCTCAAAACGTAAAAATCCGTCGAAAACTCGAGGTCGAAAAAAATCATGATTCTTATACTTTCCTTATATCTGTATACAGATAGGAAAGTAAAAAGTTTAGTTTACACGATACAGCCATTTGAAATGACAACTTAAAAATATTCAATGGAAATTCTACGTATGAAAATGATCAAAATCAAGTTTATTTTTAAATTACAAACTAATGTCATCAAAATAAAAAAAATTAATTTAACAGGTGTTCAATAGCTATTTGTATTACTAGGGAGGAAAGTGCCATTTTTCCTCCCGCAGGATGAAGTTTACTGCCCGACGCGAAGCGGAGGGCAGTAAACATCAAAAGGCACTTTACTCCCAAGTAATACATATGATTTTTCCGCCTCCCTCAAATAACAAGTCATTTTTAAATAATTTATTTATGAAACTAATAAACAAAATTTATTAAAGAACTAAAATTATGAAATAGGTATAGTATAAATTATAGGCATGTTATTTTCATTCTTGCATCCTACATATTTTTAATTTGTGGTAGAGTAATTATTTTTCTGAGTAAGTACGAATATGCTTTTCTTCGGTCCATTGCTTGAAATGTAAATACTGTTTTTCGTATTTTTCTTTAGATTTTTGGGGTAATACAGATTGAACTGTTGCATTAACCTGTTCCAAAATATCCGGTGGTGTATTATTTATATCTTTAAATTCGCTTGAATCACTCATTTTTTAAATATTATTTTATATTTTGTAGATATATTATAGCGTAACACACTTTAAAACTGATCTGTCAATCGACCATAGCATGCTATATTTCTGTCCTAAATTCGAAAATCGGATGAATCTATGAATTGAAGTCAAATTATTAATGTAAAAATCGTTAAATTAAAATAACAATTTACTGATTTTTACTATTTTGCAAAATACAGGGTGTTCTATAAATAAACGGTAAAATTCATACTTATATAATAGAATATAGTTTAGGTCGTCAATGCCGTATAAGCTATTTCATTTATGACATACCATTACGTCACTTTTACTTTTCCTCCCTATGGAGTAAAAGTACTTTTCCTCCCTAGGGAGGAAAAGTATGACTTTGCTCCCTGCAATGAGGTCAGGAAATGTATACTTTGGATAAAGGTAGGCGGAAAAATTACATTCTTCTCCTGTATACACTTACTACATAGTTTTAACAATGAAAATCGAATTTTGATATTTTTGCATACGTATAATTTAAATTGAATATGTCATTTTAAGTGGCTGTATCGTCTAAACCAAACATTTTACAAACAAATACTAAGACACAAAAAAGTTTCCAAATAGATGTTGCATTTCAGTAGTGTTCGATTTTTAATAAAATTTTGTATTACAAAAAAGTTGAATAGAGAAAGGGGCGGTGACACCCTCCAAAATCCTACAAAAATAAAAAAAATATATTGCCTCCACCTCGATTGTTAGTCATGGTATTCCAACACGTCATATAAAATTTCATGAAAAAATGTCGAATCGTTTAAGAGCAACGTTAAAAAAATTTATTTAAATTTTTATCTTATACACCCTGTAACTATTTTTGGGTGCACTTTTGTACGGTTTAATCGACCTATTTTTGATCCAAGAATACGTGGTATAACTCATGACCAATCTTTTTGAAACACCCTGTATATTTTTGTTAAACTATTTTTTATTGTCATTTTTTTTATTTTTATTTTTTTTTAATATATATTTTTTATAATATATTTAGCTAAGTTGCCTGCTATTTCGTTGCTTTTTATTCCCGAATGTCCTTCAATCCAAACAACAATTAATCTTTTATTTTGCTTTGTTATTTCAAAATTTTCTTTCAGTATATCTAGTTCTAGATGTGAGATCTGTAAGGATGTATTTAAATTTGCTAGACGGTCGACAGAACTTTTACTATCTGTGAAGATGATAAATTTATTAAATGGGTTATGCCGTATGTACTTCATTGCTTGCAAGATTGCATATAGTTTTAACGTGTATATTGATGCTTATTTAGGAAAATTATATTCTTGTTTTAGAAACATAATAAGCACAACCTACGTTGTTAGTTGTTACTCATCTTAGACCCATCTGTAAAAATGTGGTAATATTCTGGCCACAGTTTATTGGTTGTTTTGTTAAAATCATCGTTAGGATTAATATTCTTGGTATGTTTTATATGAAAATAAGATATTAAGAGCTTCTGTGTAATATGGGATGGTTTTGTTTGTGTATATTATGTTTGAATATGTAGATAGTGAAGTATAGCTTTCAACAAATAAAGGAGTCTTTTTAACTTGCCAGAATGGATGAGTGAGTACATTATGGAAAGATTATGGACGGTAGAAATGTAATGTGCCTGTTTGGAAATAGCCCTTGACAAAAATATATCGCTCATAAATTGTCGCCTATATTCTAGAGGAGGTTCCGTGGCTTCAATTTCTATGTTATTGATGGGAGTTGACTTCAGGTATCCTAGACAAATTCTAAGACTTTTTTTGTATTTCTATTTACTGTAAGTGAATATCTGCTGCTGATCCGTTAAGATGACTACCGTAATCTGGGATTGATCTTATCATAGTTTTGTAACATATTTGGGTCAGCTTCCCATTTTGTAAAACAAAAAGTTTTTAATATGTTAATTGAATTCTCGGACTTTCTTATAACTTGTTGTATACAATCTTTCCATAATAACTTCCGATCTAAATATAGGCCTAGATATTTTGCATTATTTTTAATTGTGAAATTATAAGGCCCTAATTCCATTTGTCCTTGAGGAATATTTCTGTATTTGTGAAAATGTGTTGACTTCTGATTTTTGTTTCGAGAGTGTGAGATTATTTGCTTTTAGCCAATTGCGGACATTAAGTAAGGTGGAGTTAAGATTTTCTTTAGATTTAGGAATATTTAAAGAACTATATCATCGGCAAATTGGATAATTTTTGTATTTTCTAAGCAACTTTCTATGTCCATTGCATAGGTACAATATATATAGCAATGAACTTAATATACTCCCTTGGGAGTCTGAGATGTGTGTAGCGAAGAGTTGAGAGTACTTGATTTATCTTTAAGTAGGTTAGTCTGTTTGAAAATAAGGATATTATCAGAGAGGAGATTTGTGTTGGGAAGCCAATGGAAATCAGCTTTAAGAATAAAGTTTCAAGATTAACGTTGTCAAAGGCTGAGCTTATATCTACAAATGATGCTATAGTAGTTAATTTTTAAGTAAATCCTATTAGTACGTCAGCTACTTATGATGTTAAAGCTTTTAAGGTAGATTTAGATTTTCTAAACCCATATTGTGACTCCGGTAAAATATTTTCTCTCTCAAGTTTTTCAAATGTTTTGAACATGATGCTAAGGAAATTGATCGATAGGAGTTTGGATTATCTGGTTTTTTTTACTTGGTTTTAATATAGGTAAAACGATATATTCTTTCCAAGTTTCTGGTATTGCACAATAGCCCATCCAACAGGAGTTATATACCTGTAGAAGAGATATTTTTTGGTCTTTTGGTAGATTCGATATCATTGAATAGGAAATATCATCTTTTCCAGGTGAAGTATTGTTATTTTGCTTTAGTGCTCGCTCGAACTCCTACATTTCGAAGTGTTTTAATAAGTATAAATTATTTCTGGGAACGCTAGTCATCAGATCTTGACAGGGATGTGGATGATTTGGTACTCATGGTGGTGAAATCCGTGAGTAGAATACTTCGAGCCAATATGCATTAAGGTCTATTGGCAATTTGTTGCATTTCTTTCTATTTTAAAAAGTGTTGTTTCTTTTTTTTTTTTTTTTTTAGTTTTACACCCTTCGGATCTCCCGTGCTACACCCTAATCCGTTTATAGCCTGGCGGCACTGCAGCCTGCGGCTTATTGTACCACCATTTGAAGATCCTACTACTTTCTCATTCAACAATTCACTCCCTGATTCATCGTCATTCATTCTACGTCGTCGGTGGTTAACCGCTAGTCGGATGAGTCCCATAGTGACACGGCCCATGGTGGAACCTCCCAGCGGTCACCCATCCACGACGTGACCGGAGAATCACTGCTTAACTGTTGCGAGTATGTGGATGTACACTAAGCTCGCAGCTAGCCTCTCCGGCACTGTTGTTTCTTAGTCTGTTTGAAAGTTTTTTTAGCTACAGCGTCGAGTTTTTTATATTCTATAAGATTTTGAACATTTGGATTTGCTTTGTAGGTTAGGAAGGCTTGTTTTCGCCTTTTTGCAGCTGTGTCACAATTATTATCCCACCATTGTTTTGGGTAATGATTTCTGCGCGAGTTATGCTTAGATTTAGGTTTATAATAATTGTGAAAACTGTTTTTGGGTTCGTCCGTCTTGTTTTCCTTTTTGTAAATAAATAAATAAATAAAAAAAAATACTAATGGCTTTGTGTCTACATTTGTGTGTCTGCAAGATTTTAAATATCCATATCCATAAAAAAGTAAATATTTTACATCTCATGATTTATACAGATGCACCGTTCTTGGACTCTTAAACAAATACTTATACTATTTTTATGAACTCACCTTATTTCCTAAAGCTGCTTCCTTAGCTAGCAAAACAGCTAACCCTCGCACCCTTCTACCGCTTCCCAGTGTTCTTTTCGCTTCCGAAGTACTTTTGGCTTCCGGTTTCGGATGATCGTGAACTCCTTTGGCTTGAAAAAAGATGGCGTGCTCCGTGTGCCTCCAAAAATGCGTCACGGGGTAACCGCAGTGTCCTCTGCAAGCTTGAATTTCTAATCTACCTCTACATTGCCTATTCGGACATGGTTTGCCTAATGTAACAGAATCTTGATTTGAAAATCAATTATAACATCAATATTTAAGTATTATGTAGTTTTTTAAAAAGGGTATTTGGATATAACAGGTACGGGAATTTAAAAATAGAAGATATACTTAATACTGAATTAAACAAAGTATAATAGGAACATGCACATAACAGAAAGATACCGCTTTTATCAAGCAACGAGGCAACTTCAATCTCTCCTCGCTCCACTACATACGTCAAACATAGATTGATGTGTGACGATGTCTGTTATGTGTATGTTCCTATTATACCTTGAGATCTCCAGTTTTTAAATTTCCTTACCTTTCTAATGTGCGATTGTTAAAAACTTTTTAATTGAGAAAATCACTTAAAACATTTAAGAATCACATTTAGACAGGGCCGCATTTACTATTAGGCCTCACCCCCATAACATAATTGTGTAAAAAAAGTCGACTTGCCTGACCATTTTCGGATTCACAACGATTTGCGCCTAGGGGCCTCCAAGCAGTGTAAATGCGGACCTGAATTTAGAAATGGTGTATGTAAAAATTAGGGTAAACAGGATGGGGAAAATTTAATTTAATACTATGGGGATATTGTTAACCGTTATAGATACAAAATTGGTTAAATAAAAAAAAGTACCTATTTTCAAGAAGAACTTATTGGCTTTTTAATAATTAAAACATCAGGTCCGGTTTTCGCACTATTTGTGCTTTTATTAGGTTTTCTCGTTAAAATATTAATTTTTTAACATAACATTCTATCTTCTACAATGTAAATCCTATGTTTGTGTTCACACTTCCCTAATCTATGGGTCACGCTGACTTTGATCCAACGTTGCCATATTTAGTAGATTTCTACTTTTTTAGCTAGTTTTAGTAGTTTTTTTGTAGATTTTATTGTAGTATATTTTAGTATATTTTAGTATATTTTAGTATATTTTAGTATATTTTAGTATATTTTAGTATATTTTAGTATATTTTAGTATATTTTAGTATATTTTAGTATATTTTAGTATATTTTAGTATATTTTAGTATATTTTAGTATATTTTAGTATATTTTAGTATATTTTAGTATATTTTAGTATATTTTAGTATATTTTAGTATATTTTAGTATATTTTAGTATATTTTAGTATATTTTAGTATATTTTAGTATATTTTAGTATATTTTAGTATATTTTAGTATATTTTAGTATATTTTAGTATATTTTAGTATATTTTAGTATATTTTAGTATATTTTAGTATATTTTAGTATATTTTAGTATATTTTAGTATATTTTAGTATATTTTAGTATATTTTAGTATATTTTAGTATATTTTAGTATATTTTAGTATATTTTAGTATATTTTAGTATATTTTAGTATATTTTAGTATATTTTAGTATATTTTAGTATATTTTAGTATATTTTAGTATATTTTAGTAGATTTTAGTATATTTTAGTATATTTTAGATTTTAGTATATTTTAGTATATTTTAGTATATTTTAGTATATTTTAGTATATTTTAGTATATTTTAGTATATTTTAGTATATTTTAGTATATTTTAGTATATTTTAGTATATTTTAGTATATTTTAGTATATTTTAGTATATTTTAGTATATTTTAGTATATTTTAGTATATTTTAGTATATTTTAGTATATTTTAGTATATTTTAGTATATTTTAGTATATTTTAGTATATTTTAGTATATTTTAGTATATTTTAGTATATTTTAGTATATTTTAGTATATTTTAGTATATTTTAGTATATTTTAGTATATTTTAGTATATTTTAGTATATTTTAGTATATTTTAGTATATTTTAGTAGATTTTACTCTATTTTAGTAGTTTTTAGTAGTTTTTAGTAGATTTTAGTAGATTTTAGTAGATTTTAGTAGATTTTAGTAGATTTTAGTAGATTTTAGTAGATTTTAGTAGATTTTAGTAGATTTTAGTAGATTTTAGTAGATTTTAGTAGATTTTAGTAGATTCTAGTAGATTTTAGTAGATGTTAGTAGATGTTAGTAGATTTTAGTAGATTTTAGTAGATTTTAGTAGATTTTAGTAGATTTTAGTAGATTTTAGTAGATTTTAGTAGATTTTAGTAGATTTTAGTAGATTTTAGTAGATTTTAGTAGATTTTAGTAGATTTTAGTAGATTTTAGTAGATTTTAGTAGATTTTAGTAGATTTTAGTAGATTTTAGTAGATTTTAGTAGATTTTAGTAGATTTTAGTAGATTTTAGTAGATTTTAGTAGATTTTAGTAGATTTTAGTAGATTTTAGTATATTTTAGTATATTTTAGTAGATTTTAGTAGATTTTAGTAGATTTTAGTAGATTTTAGTAGATTTTAGTAGATTTTAGTAGATTTTAGTAGATTTTAGTAGATTTTTAGTAGATTTCGTACATTAGAAATCATGGATTCCGATGCAAAAATTTGTCAAAAAAATTTTATCCAAAAAAATTTTGTTCATACACTTAATATACTTAAATGCTGGCCAAGCGCATATGCCATACTTTTGTTAAAAAAAAATTCTTTAAAAAATTTTTATCAAATAAAATTTTGTCCAAAAAAAAATTGTCCAAAAAAAATTGTCAAAAAAAATTGTTAAAAAAAATTGTCAAAAAAAAATTGTCACAAAAGACAAAAAAATTGTCCAAAAAAAATTATTGAAACATTTTTGTCTAAAAAAATTTATCAAAAAAAAATTGTCCAAAAAAATTGTTAAAAAATTTTTTGTCACAAAAAAATAGTCCAAAACAAAATTGGTTAAAAAAAAATTTGTCAAAACATTTTTGTCAAAAAAAATTTTGTACAAAAAAAATTTTTTGCAAAAAATTTGTCAAAAAAAAGACAAAATTGTCCAAAAAAAAATTGTTGAAACATTTTTGTCAAAAAAATTTTATCGAAAAAAATTTGTCCAAAAAAATTGTTAAAAAATTTTTTCTCACAAAAACTAGTCCAAAACAAAATTGGTTAAAAAAAATTTGTCAAAACATTTTTGTCAAAAAAAACTTTGTACAAAAAAAAATTTTACCATAAAATTTTTTGTTAAAAAAAACTTTGTTAAATATAAATTAACAAAAAAATTGTTAAAACATTTTTCTCAAAAAAAATTAATCAAAAAAAATTTTTTCTAACAAAATGTTTAAAAATTTTTGTCACAAAAAAATATTCCAAAACAAAATTGGTTAAAAAAAATTTGTCAAAAAAAATGTCCAAACAAATTTTGTTCATACACTCAATGTACTTAAATTCTGGCCGAGCGCATATGCCATACTTTTGTCAAAAAAAATGTCAAAAAAAAATTGTCAAAAAAAATTTGTTGAAACATTTTTGTCAAAAAAAATTGTTAAAAAATTTTTTGACGCAAAAAAATAGTCTGAAATAAAATTGGTCAGAACAAATTGTCAAAAAAAAATTTTTACCATAAAAATTTTTGTCTAAAAAAAATTGTCAAAAAAAAATTATCACAAAAAATTTTATCCAAAAAAAAATTTGTCCTTACACTCAATATACTTAAATACAAGGTCATACTTATTAACTTAAAAATTTTTACTATAAAACTTTTTGTCTAAAAAAAATTGTCAAAAAAAATTATCACAAAAAATTTTATCAAAAAAAAATTTGTCCTTACACTCAATATACTTAAATGCAAGGTCATACTTATTAACTTAAAAATTTTTACCATAAAATTTTTGTCAAAAAAAAATTGTCACAAAAAAATTACAAAAAAAAATTGTCCAAAAAAAATTTATTAAAATATTTTGTCAAAAAAAAATTGGCAAAAAAATTGTCAAAAAAAATTGACAAAAAAAAATTTGTCACAAAAAAGAAAAAATTGGCCAAAAAAATTTTTTCCAAAAAAAAATTGTCCAAAAAAATTGTTAAAAAAATTTTGGTCACAAAAAAAATTGTCCAAAACAAAATTGGCTAAAAACATTTTTTTGTCACAAAAAAAATAGTCCAAAATAAAATTATCAGAAAAAATTTTATCAAAAAAAAATTTGTCCTTACACTCAATATACTTAAATGCAAGGTCATACTTATTAACTTAAAAATTTTTACCATAAAATTTTTGTCAAAAAAGAATTGTCACAAAAAAATTACAAAAAAAAATTGTCCAAAAAAAATTTATTAAAATATTTTGTCAAAAAAAAATTGGCAAAAAAATTGTCAAAAAAAATTGACAAAAAAAATTTGTCACAAAAAAGAAAAAATTGGCCAAAAACATTTTTTCCAAAAAAAAATTGTCCAAAAAAATTGTTAAAAAAATTTTGGTCACAAAAAAAATTGTCCAAAACAAAATTGGCTAAAAACATTTTTTTGTCACAAAAAAAATAGTCCAAAACAAAATTGGTTAAAAAAAATTTGTCAAAACATTTTTGTCAAAAAAATTTTGTACAAAAAAAATTTGTCCAAAAAATTTTAACCATAAAAATTTTTGTTAAAAAAATTTGTCCTTACACTCAATATACTTAAATGCATGTCTCATACTTATAGATATACTATTAACCGCATGTGGTGTTGCAAGTGGGAATATTTTATCCATCTGAAAAACGCCTATAGAAGTTTTCACTTAAAAATTGTGTCCAAAAAAAAATTGTTCAAAAAAAATTTTACCAAAAAAATTTTTGTTAGAGAAAAAATATAGACCGTCAGTCCACGTGGATTTGTGTTTAATATGTCAAATGATCTAAATCTACGTAAACCAATCAACAAACCAGAACACAGACTGTCATTATTTATGAGTTATTATTTATCAATTCTTAACAGAAGTACTCATGTTTAAGGGCCCATACTTGAGCTTGAAAATTTCTAATTTCTTCCGAGTCTTCGTGTTTAGTCCAATTTTTGTGAAATTTTCAGGAAATACCAATAATAACTAAACTTAGGGTAGAGAAACCTTGATTTTTTTTGTAAACCTTCAATAAGTATATATTTTGATAATTTAAAAAAATAAAAAAAACATTTACATTTTGTATTAAATCTATAAAATTTCCTTCTTTTTTCTAGTTTCTCAATTTTTTGTTCAATATATTATTATTAGAATATAAAAGTAAAGATTTATTATCTAGAAAGTTCGTCTTATGCGTTAAAAAATTATTCTATACTGTTTTGTATCTATAACGGTTAACAAAGTCCCCAAGAATGCTCAATTAAATTTTCGCCACCCTGTATACCAAAGCAAATGTCTTACCCTTACCTTGTTGTTTCTTTCTAGCTTTATCACATATGGCCGGTCTCAAATGCACGCTCTCGCCGTTCGATAAGCTGCACCTCAGGGAACACACCAAGACCCCCAAGCAACTTTTCTTTAATATGTGAACGTTGTGGTTGTTCGTGTTTCGCATCGCCCAGCCCGACGAATGTCGTTTAGCTTCTTCGCTGTCCGCTCGGTACACTAAACGACAATGTCCGTCGGCCCATTCCGAAAATACGTCGTACTCGTCTATTCGAGGGATGGCGCTGTCGTTGATGTCCCAGTCGTTGGAATTCGAGTAAACCCGGCACGTCATGCCCGGGGAGGAGGGAGTGTGCCTAAAAAAATAAAACATGGGATTTATTTGATTATATTCTACGCAATGAAGTGCAGTGTGGTAGAATGATAAAGGTCAATGAAAAAGTATAGACACTATGCACAATTTCATTTTGCACGTTTTGTAAATAAGATGCAGGGACGGTTTAAGAACATTTTGTGCAACAACTATAAAATAGTGTATCGTAAAATAATTTACAGATATAATTTAATACTAAAAATCACAAATATAAGCAAGCCAATAAAGAAGCGACGTCAAAATAAAAAGCTTACAACAGACCCAACACGAATAAAAAACAAAGTTGAACATGAACACAATGGCTGAACAAAGCCAAGCCTGCAATTTGTTTACTGTGCTTTAGGGCAACCTCTCTTTGTCATTTACGTGTGTAAGAGTGGAAGGTTGAATCATGCATAATTTATACACTCGTCTAGAGTGGCGGCTTGTGGTAATTTAAAATGGGTGTTCACTTTTTCCAATAATTTTATCATATGTAAGTTAGGATCAAAACTTTGTACAAGAGTCAATATTGCTGTTTTTTTATTATTTGAGTTTATATTAAGGGTAGTTATTATTATCAACATCATACTGTTTTCAAGCACTACAACTATTAATAAATGAATATTTTAGTATTTTTAGTTAGTGTGATATTTGTTTTGTTTTTAATACGTTGTAAACCATCTATAAACATTATTAGTTAGTAAACTGACTTTTCTTCCTAATTTGAGATTATTTTTAAATATATATCAGGTTATGTATTGATTTTTGTGTAAAAAATTTTATATGAAACTTTACCTACCAATTTTTAGTTTTTTAGAAACCTAGTATTGATGAAAATTAAGTAGCACTGCTTTTACTTAAAAATAGTGCTTGTTTGTCAACAAAATTCATACCACTACTTTTTAGCATTTGCTCTCGTCTTTGGGTACGTATATTTTATATGTTTGTGCGCCGACACGATAATCTAGAACGAAAGGTTTAAAATCGGTTGAGGTTTTGACTTTTTTTTGTAATTTTTTCAAGCCGAGAATTCAATTGATTTTTCAGAATTTTTGGATTAACTTTGGTAAGATGTATTGCATTTCTTAACGAGCTCATTTTATGCACTGCGACAGATGACATGGGCACCTACTAATATTACTAGATGTCCATGCTTGTCAACTGTGAAACCACATATTTTTTTCTATATTGCTGTCATTTTTAAACATCAAATGAATTATTTAATTTTTTTGTAATTGCAGCAAGTATCAAAATGATCTACTTTATGCAACCATTTGCATAATGTTGAACATGTTTACGAAAAACTCATTATGCCACCATTTACGAAAAGAAAACAAATAAATATATACATTATTATATTAAAGTAGGAATTTGGTTAAAGTTGTAAACTAGTAATAATGTTGTTTTGGTCCTTATTTTCCATTCTAAATTAGCATAATAGCTATTTAGTGAATATTTACGGGACAAGCATAGCGAGATCCCGCAACATGGACGACAAACTGCAATATTTTTGGCCAATGTTATTAAGATATCTACAGATAAGGACATTGGTAAGTTAGTTTAATAGGTGCTAATAAAACCCTTAACAGAATTAACATTTTTTTCTACTTCTCGCTATGGATAACGAATTACTAATTTTAATTTTTTACCAAAATGTTAGAGGTCTCAATACCAAAATTACTATTAAATTCCGAAAGTGATATAATTTGTTTAACGGAAAGTTGGCTTTCATCTATATTTTTTTGGTACATCATTGTCCTCTGGTTGATCGCGTCTCTGTGGCACAGTATACCTAAGTATACTGTGTCTGTGGCGCACTATGATGAGTGAGCATAACACGAGTGAGTCGTATGCCGAAATGCATAAAGCTAAAAAGAGAAGACAACACGCTGACAGATCCTTCAAACTGTGAAAGAATACATTAATTGGCGCACCGCTCACAAACAAGGTTGCCAAACCAGTGTTGCCAGTCTAGTACAATTCACAATTGTACTAGATGTAGTACTTTCTGCGTGCATCAGGGTTCACGTGTAAAATATATATTTTTATATATATTGTGTTCCTTGTTTGGGTTCATTATCAATAAAGACACCCTTTTTTCCCTTTCAATGAATTAGATGTCATTGCAAATAGAATTCGAAAAATCTGATACATTTAAGGAATCTGGTAAATTTTTTAGACAAATCTGGTACATAACAAAAACATATTCTGTCAACACTGTATCAAATCAAACAAATTGTCACTGTCATTAGTTGTCACTCCTCTACTATTAAATACAAAAAAAAACGTAAGATTATATTAATTGTGCTTATTTAAAAAAAGTGTTTAATTAAGAACTGTGTCTTCAATAAATTGAAAGATGTGTGCCAATTCAACGATTGTTCCCGAAAGGCAAGGTAAATTAAAATTTTTAAGGTTATGTTGATTTATTTACATATAATAAATTTTTACGACTCTAATTTGTATTATATTTTGTTTTAATGTCTAAGAACATCCAAGGACTACTTCAAAATGGTCTATGTTGTACTCAATTGTAAATACTATGAAGAAAAAAGTAAGCAAAAAAAATTGTAATTTTTTTTCTCACAAAACCTGCTAAAAGGAAAAATTGAATTATTCTGATGAGGTCACTAGACATCATTATGGAAATGTACAATAAAAATTTGATAAAGATAAAGAGACAAATGGTTTTTCACTTTAAAAGTCTAAATCGAAAAAATGGATTAAGGAATTAAGAGTTAATTTAATATACTCGATGAGAAATTTTACCTAAGAAATGGTATGTACATTTAAATAGTTTGTTTACCTATATAAAGTTATGTTTGCCTGCAATTATCAATCGTGTTACCCTCTAACCAAGATCGTTTGTTGCATACAAACCAGACATTTTTTTATTGCCTTGTTTGTATAATTTAGTATTTTCAAAAATATTAGATGTTATGGTAATTTGAATCACTACAGGTATTAAATAAAAATAAGGCTATTGGTAAATTAATTTCCAGTTGGTAATAAAGAATGTCTCGAAAAGAGTCTCGAAATAAGTATCAAACATAAATTGTGATTTTGATTAGGCACTTAACAATTCACATCCCAGATATCTACATGCTCTGGCTAATCAATCCTATAAGTACATATCAAAACATTAATATACTATCTACAATTAAACAATAATTTGGAAATACAGATAAAGCCGATTTACCTATTTAAACAAAATTACTATTATTCTATTTATTAAAACTTAAAACACATTATTTTTTTAGTAAACTTGGACATGCAAAAGCAGCCATGAGGGTAGGACATTAGTGAGTGCAAGAATACTTTGAAATGTGCTGTGAAATACACATAGAAAGGATCATAATATGGAAAATTAAGTGTGATAACATTTTACGATATATATGTCACTAGTTTAGTTCACAGATTTCTGTGTTCTGTGTTCAATTATGTGCTGCTATTTCAAACTTTTAGTATCCTTTGATAAAAGAAGTTGAATATTATTGTTGACCTTTCTAAATTGTTTATTTTATATCATACATTTTTTTTTCTACTCATACAGTATTTTGTGAAGAGTATTATAGGTTTACTTTGTCTGTCTGTCCGATGTCACGTTTTTTGTCTGCACTATAAATCAAAAACGAAAAATAATTTCAATTTGACAATTTTAAGCAAAAATCAAGCTCTATAAGGGGACAAAGCCTATTGATTTTTAATAAATCTGATTAAAAATAGGGGGTTAAGATGGGATGAAATTACAAAAAAAATCCTAAATTATAAACGAAAAGCGATATCTACATGAAATTTTTAGTAAAAATAAAGCTTTATATATTGGGGAGTTAAGGGGGGTTAAAATAAAAAAAAAATTCTAACTGAAAAACGAAAAATAATATAAACTTGAAATTGTTAGCAAACATCAATTTCTAAAAGGAGAAGAAGCCCTTTAATTATAAAAAAAAATCTGATTAAATATGGGGGATTTAAGGGGGGTTGAAATTAAAAAAAAAATCAAAAATGAAAAGCGATATCAACATGAAATTTTTAGTAAAAATCAAACTCTATAAGGAGTTGAGGCCTATTGATTGTGAAAACAATCTGTTTGAAAATGGGGACTAAGGGGCTCTGTTAAACTGCGAAGAGTATCATTTAGAATGCCAGGCATTATATATCTTTATTCTAGTTTGTGTTTGTGTAATATTATGTATTGTGATGGGACTGATCTTATAAAATAAACATTTAAAATATTTTAGTTCTTATTTTATTTGGCAATAAAAGGTATTTAAAACAATATATTTTTTATTTGACATCTTTGACAAATTGTGAAAATGATTAAATTTACAATAAAAACTAAAAAATGGTAGGTAAAGTTTCATATTAAATTTTTACACAAAAATCAATGTCAAGCTTTCTACATAACCTGATATATATTTAAAAATAATCTCAAATTATGAAGAAAAGTCAGATTACTAACTAATAATATTTATAGATGGTTTTCAACGTATTAAAAACAAAACAAATATTACACTAACTAAAATATTCATTTATTAATAGTTGTAGTGCTTGAAAACAGTATGATGTTGATAATAATAACTACACTTAATACAAACTCAAATAATAAAAAAAAACAGCGATATTGGCTCTTGTACAAAGTTTTGATCCGAACTTACAAATGATAAAATTATTGGAAAAAAATTAACACCCATTTTAAATTACGACAAGCCGCCACTGATTCATCATCAATATCTGATGAAGAATTTTCTACATCATACAAAATATATCGTCGCGATAGGGAATCAAGCTCTTCAAATTGTGTAGTGAAGGCGTTTGAATGGCAGTGTTAAATGAAATTTTTAGTTTCTCTGAGCACAATATATCTCCTATAGTATAGTAATGTTACTGGGATTCAAGAAATGGCTTTGAGTTACGCTGCGGCCAGACACAGGCCTCATGGCCTAGTATCGTTTTGAATTTTGACACGTCCAACATCG